ATTATTTATTTAACATAACAATCTAAAAGTTACTAAATTACTACTTACTAATTATAAAACTTAGTTATTTTTTTGTTATCAACTTATCAACTTTCATATATCCAATAACATTACACCTTTATAACATATTCAAAATAAGGATTAATTAACAAAATTTCTAAGCCTTTTCTCCCAAGTCATTGTTTGCAATTTATATCCAAATTCCTTATGTTAAATCAGTACATATGTCTTTTTAACCTTATATCAAATTTGTCCCCCTATTCTACCTTGGTCAGAACCCATTTGGAATACTGTGAAAGGATTTAGACATTAGAATGAACACTGACAAATTGGAAAAAAATTGAAGATGGTTACCAAGATGGTGAAGAGTCTAGAAACTAAGGCCTGTGATTAAAAGATCTGGGAATACAGTATTAGCCTACAGAAAATGCAAAGGGAAAAATGATAGCACTCTTCAAATAGTATATATTCATAAATAGAAAAATAATCTTAAAGAGTTATCACACAGAATATCTCCCAGAGGGAAAGATTTATTTCTATTGCCCTAGTAGAAATGAGATAAAAGTACAACAGAGGAGGTTCAGGCAAAACATCAGGTGGAGGTTTATGATTGAATTGAATCAGTGGAACATCTGTCCAGTTAAAAAGTGAGTTTTGCTTTTTTAAAGATTTTTTAGACAAAGACTGAGTGATCTCCTGTCAAAAGGTCTATTGGAACCTGCACTGACTAAAGGACTGGATTAGATAACCCCAAAGCTGCATTCCAACTCTGATTCTAGACTACATGTTTAGGATAGAAAAACCAGTTTAACTATTACATTCTAAGTATTTTTGCTCTTGTAGCTATTTTTGCAGTCAACTTTGGGTAGGGTAATATCGACCTTACCCTAAGCAACTTTGGGTCGGGTAAGGGACACGGTGGCTCATTGGCTAAGATGCTGAGTTTGTCGATCAGAAAGATTGGTAGTTTGGCGGTTCGAATCCCTAGCGCCATGTAACAGAGTGAGCTCCTGTTACTTGTCCCAACTTCTGCCAACCTAGCAGTTCAAAAGCATGTAAAAATGCAAGTAGAAAAATAGGGACCACTTTGGTGGGAAGGTAACAGCATTCTGTGCACTTTTGGCATTTAGTCATGCCGGCCACATGACTACGGAGACATCTTTGGATACGCTGGCTTTTCAGCTTTGAAATGGAGATGAGCACTGCCCACTAGAATTGGGAATGACTAGCACATATGTGCTATGGTAACCTTTACCTTTTCTTACCTTGGGTAGGGTATTATAACTCCATTTTTTTTCTCACTCTTTTATGTTCCCTTAGGTGTTAAGATTGTAATTCTAGAACCATTTATCTAGGAATATAATTCATCTGTGTAGACCCACACAGAATTGTAAACAGAATTATGCTGTCTATTATTTATATACCAATATACAAAGCTAAAAGGAAATAAGAATCAGTGTTCCAAACTTTTTTGCTTAAAGTATATATACCAATTCACTGCAATGATCTACAATTTCTTGTGACATGCCAGAATTTATTTTAACCATGACTGAAGAATAAAACTCGAATAAATGTATACAGTGAGTAAGGAAAATATTTATATGTAGCATGCATATAAATATTATGACTAGTTATGAAATAATTGTATTCAAGACTTAGGTCTGCATTTCAATTGAAATTATTTATAGTATTACTTTCACATTGGAATACATTCAGTATCTATAAATTTAAAAATCTGAATCTTGTTTACTTTAGCTGCTAATGTTTCTATGCACATGGAAGAAAAATCACATCTAAATGTCTAAGGGTAATGATTCTGGGCCAGATCCAGCATAACTTTTCTATTATGCACTTATCTAAGCTGCTTTATAAACATGATCATAATTTTACATGGTATACCTTGTTAAAAGAAACAGCCACCACATTTGGTAGTTTTATGTATTAGCTCTTGGAACATATCCTTAAATAATACATAGTCTAGTTAATATACAAAACAGAACACAACTGAGAAGTGGCTCAATTCACTGTCATGTAAATATACTACCTATATTGACATAGAGAGAGAAATACATAACAGGATTTGTCAACAGAACTTCACAGGGGTAATTACTTTTCTCAAATAATTTAGAATACAGTTATCAGCTGTAGGAGAGAACAAATGAAAACTTTATCTGCAATGTATAAGAAAAAAGCAACATAGACTAAGGATGAATGAATAAAAGTTTTGGAAATACAATGCCCCAAGAGGCTCCACCTAATCCTTAAAATGCTGTTTAACTATTACAGTTATATTTTAGGGCTAATTTATGTAAGCTGTCTGAAGTCAAGTGTTTAGGCACCCTGTTGTCAATATTTCTATATTGTGTTTCATACTTTCTGACATGAGCTTCTAGATTAATTCTCTTTGCTATTAAGAAAAAAAAATTTATTTACTTCATTAATAGGAATATCTCTTAATGCAGGAATTGCTTCTTCTTGTGGTATTTTCTGTTTTTGATTTTTTGCATAATGATCTGTAAAAGATTTTTTAAAATCAAAAATACATTTTTTGTTTAATGAGATGAAATGTAGTAAAAATGCAAGAAATTATTTATTGCAAAAATATGTTAGAGACTGTCTCTGACACCAACCATTTGCAATTACAGTGGTGATGAAAAAATAAATTTGTGACCAGTGCCTGCATTTATAACCTTCATACTGTCTGTATTTGCCATTACAGTCAGTACATTATCACCTTGGAAACTTTATTCTGAAAAGCCATTCATTCATTCTATATATCTCTTTTATTGTTTTTACAAATATGCTGAGACAGCAAATGTATTTAACACATCTTCAACCTCCTATTTTCCCCACAACAACCACCCTGTAATGATGCAAAAAATGCAATATAAAGCAAAAAAACCACCTACTTGAGAGATTAGCATGCTCATCTCACAATAAAATGTTATGGGTACATTGCAAACAGTTCTAGGTATATTTTTGTAGTTTTTGTGCTTACCTGTAATAGTTTCTGTAGAATTCAGTGGAGCTGTACTGATCATGTTAATACCAAAGAGGAGTACATAGCCTATTCCCACAGCAACTAAAAGATACACAGGCAATGCAGCAGCCCAGAATCTAGGAAGTAGAAATAACACTTGAAATAGTGCTTTAGTGCATACATATGAGAAAATGCAACAAAACAACTATCAACATATCGTAGCATAGTAGAAAAAGAAGAGAATTAGCAACATAATAAGGGAATGGAGTAGTTTGTTTGGAAAAAAAGTCTAAAATACTAGGGCTCTTTAATTCAAAATTCTGATAAAGTATGAAAATTTAGTTAGAACTATACAAGTAGTACACTTTGAATGGACAGAGATTCTTTCCATCAAAGGACTGCAAAAGAGCCCCTAAACACAAGGTTACAGATTATATATCTTTGGACTGTTATATATAAATATAAAGAAAATAACAAATGATATTATGAGTTCTAGAACTGGAGATCCAAGTTTTATGTCAGATAAAACTTAAGGGGTAATCTTACTATGATCTGCCTCTACAATCGCCAGTCCCGATAGAAGAAAATATATGTAGCTCAGGTTTGAACAGTGAAGTTCCTGGTGCTCTGTATGCATGGTTATTACCTAGTCATGTAATAAAACATCTGCAAGTGAACAACCAAGCACAGAGAACACGGAGGACTCCACATCAATCTTGTTTTAAGTACCAATGCCCTGGCATTTATTTGTGACCATATGCTATTTTTTATATCATAGACAACAGTCTAGTTTTTGTTGTCTTTCTCCTTTTCAGGGTCACGGATTTGCCTGTTCAACATCATATATGTCCTTAAATCTCACATAAGTCCTGAATCAGGAGCCACACACATAATGAAGAGGGGGAATGGGAGTGGGGCAAGTACCTTTACATTCAACTGGAAATATTATGGTAAATTATATGGATGATTCTTCTGAATCAGCAGAGATTATTCTTATTCAAGGTTATACAGGTATCCTTGACTTATGATCACATTTGTGCCCAAAATTTCTGTTGCTAAATGAGATAGTTGTTAAGTGAGTTTTGCCCCATTTTATGACCTTTCTTGTTAAAAGTTGTTAAGTGAATCATTGCAATTGTTAAGTTAACACAGTTGTTAAGTAAATCTAGCTTTCCCATTGATTCAGGAGGTCACAAAAGGCGATCACATCACCCCAGGATACTGCAACTGTCATAAATATCAATCAGTTGCCAAGTGTCTGAATTTTGATCATGTAACCAGAGGCTAGCGCATTGTGATAAATGTAAAAAATAGTCATGTCACTTTTTTTAGTGGCATTGTAAATCCGAATGGTCACTAAATGAATTGTTATAAGTTGAGGATTACCTCCATTGTTAAAATATACATAGTATTTGTAAAATAATTCAATAGGAAAACCTTTAATGAAAGTTATAAAGAACTTACTTTTGAGGCCAGTATGTTAAGCCCAACGAGAACAGCCAGGATTCAGGTATGTAGGCCCACACAATATACAGAACTACATATATCCATATATATAGATACAGCACGCAGACAAAAAGCAAAAAAAAATTAAGTACAATGGTGAATTATATCCACAAAGAAGGCAAGCATATAATGTAAGATTCATTTTAATAATCATATTCATAATTGGTTTGAGGGAGGTAAGTTAGCAACTTCTCAGTAGCATGTTTATCAGCCATAATAAAACAGCTGATTTAATTTTATCTCTGATCTAGGGCATTTCTGGTCATTGTTGGATATTTTGTATGGATGTGCATCAGAAAATAGCTGTTCATGTTCATATCTACAATTACATGAAGATAAATAATATGTATGTATGCATCCAACTTTGCAGAAAGAATTCAGTCTGTCTACCATATAAAAGCTGAGTCAATTTTGGAGTTCATTTAGGTATACATCAAAACGTGCAATTTGACCAGGTATGCCTAAATCTTTGCCTAGAATTATATATGAGGAAAGTGTGTAATTTTATTGCTTCAGGGCTTTCTGATTTTAAAATATTATTGCTACTTTCTTTCTAATATCTTGCTTCTGGGGAGGCACAGGATACATGAAAAAGTTTTAAAATGGTAGTGGTTAATTTTTATGCCAATATTTATGTCAGTATTATTGTTAATATAGTTAATTTCTCTAAATATTGTGTATACTTGATTCCTCCCAGCCCCAAGCTTTAGCAATGTTAGGGACTGCCTCCTCTACTTCCACTTGAACTCCTTCCACCTGCCTATCTCCTCCCCTTTTGGTTGCCAGCCTACCCACTTCACTACTACTGCATTGGCACGACCTTCTTTCATGCTGCCTTTTCTTGGGCCTGTGCAGCTAAGACTTTAGCAAAGATTTCTCTTATTCATCCAGGGCCTCTATTCATGACCTGCCCAGAGCCTTTCATGAAACATGCCTAGCATGTGAAAAAGATCCTGTGTGTGGCAAGAGAGAAGCCTCAGCTGTATCAGTGTGAAACAAGGCCTCTACAGTAGTGCCAGATGGTAAAGTGGGTGCAGCTGCAGATAGGCAGATGGCCAAAAGATCATCATCAAAGGAGTAGTGTAAAGTGGGCCCAAATGTTGTTCATGTGATCACAGCTGAATTACAGTATTTTAAATTTCAAGGACTGGGTGTAAGTCCCTTCATTCAGTGCTGTGGTAACTGAACAGTTGCTTAATGAATAGACATTAAAGCATGTACTATCTGTAATCAATGTCTTTTAAATAAACACAAATACATATAAGATATTCTGACCGCCATCTAACATGCCATTTGACCATTGAGATCTTCTCTTATCTTTAATCGAAGCAATTAATTCAACATAATTTACTCTCATGTGCAGCACTTTCAGAACTATGACTCTTATTTTCAGTATGGGTATCATATACAACATTGCACTTTAATTCTCTGAAACTTTAGAAACCTTGCAATTGCAGCATAGACAATTTTAAAAAGACAACAATGAAATGAAACAGCCAACATACATATACTATCTTGCTTGTGATATAATTTGATATATTGTATATTGTATCACAACATTCAAACTATTAGGTTTAAGTGGTTTACTTACTAAAGGCAAATTGGGAGCCCAAGTAAAGAACAAAACCATATATAGCTCTTTCAGGCAATGGGGCTGGCGAATTTTCAACCATGCTGATGCCTTTATTTTATTAAAAAGAAAAGGGAAAAAGGAAAACAATTAGCTTAAGTTAACCTAACTATGGTTATCAATAATTTCACTTCTATGTGGCCAAAAAATGAAATTATGGTATTCAAAAAATACAACATGGATACTAATCCCCTTTTAATTAGGATATACACATTTCAAATTTCAAAGCACACTCCATCAACTATTTGGAAATTAGCTTTGTGTCTAGCTGCATGCAAGACAACTGGATGCAAATTCAAGTAATTTATAATAAATAATCATAAGTAATTTACTATTTTCAATTTCCAATAGATTAGCTACTCTAATGTTTTTTTTTCTGGCAACTACAGTTTTAATCTCTTAGTGGCTACAAAGTTATTTATTGAATTTAAAATAAAGGTCTGAACTCTAAGAGGTTTTTTTACATCAAATAAGACCACAGATGACACGCTGCAATAAATTGCTTTTACTGAAGTGACTGGCCATCAGAGAATGAATACAAAGTCCTTTCTATCTTTTTATTCTAAGATTACCTTTAATTTTAAATCATATCCAATAACAAGAGAACTGTGACGGTGAGTGGAGAAGAGAAAAGTTTTCCTATGTTTAAAATGCCAATGTTGTGCTTATTCTAAGTCGTAAAATCTTTAAAAACAAAACACAAACAAATCCAGCTGTAAATGTCATGATAGTTAAACAATAAAGGTTAGAATAAAGATTTCCAAAACAAACATCAAAGCCCTCATAGACAATCTTGCAAAAGATTCATTACTGTGTTAAACTCTTCCAAAAGCCCCATTACATTTAACTGAATCTTTCAAACTATGGACGACTTCTTCGTAGAGGTGCTGTTTTAATAGCAATAGCACTTATATACGGCTCCAAATTGCTTTACAGCACTCTCTGAGCTGTTTACAAATGCCACCATATTGTTCTCAACAATCTGGTTCCTCATTTCAACCTCAGAAGAATGGAAGGCTGTGTCACATCTCCAAAACATCTGCAAGGCATCAAGTTAGAGAGAGATAGGGAACTATGGTCAAATGATATTTATCTGTATTCATTTACAAGAAATAAACCCTGTGCTGGAAGTCTCACACTGCTATTTTGAAATTTTTTATTTTCTCAAAAGCTTGAAATTATTGTATTGTATTTGGTTTATTTGTATATATATGGCTCTTCAAGATTATTCTTATAGACTAAGACACCTCCTTATATGTAATGTAGCAGAATTTAAAATTCAATCCCTAGTTCAAAAGCATTGCTATTTAACCACATTTGTCAAGTTTACAAGCTTCTGAAAGACATTTTGTAACTGTTCCCCTCCCTGCCAATGTTTCATGCCCAAAATGACAGCAATTGGAAACTCAAGTGTTTTTCCTTTCAACTGCTCCAGTACGCTGCTTGCTAACCTCAGCTTTCTGCATTTTTCTACCGTTGTCTCCACTATCAATGCTACTATTGCAATAATCATAACATAGGATATTCCATGATAATTGATAATGGAACGTGTCCAAAATGTATTGTATTTCGTTGTTTTTTTATTAAAAAATTTCCGTATCGCCGTATTTTTAACTAGAACATTTATATAACAGAAAAAGTAAAATTATCACTGCATCACCGTTAATATAAGAATTACAAACAAAGCGTAGGTCCACCGTCCATACCAAAACTGTCCAAACAAGATATATGGAAGGGTTTGAACTGGAGAAATCCGATTTGGAGAACTTTTCGCAAGTCATCCGATTAAGTTAAAAAAAATAACAATTTCCTCATCTCCTGTATGCGAACTACAAGATAACCGGACTTGTTGTCCACATACACCTTTCTATTAAAAACGCCGCTTTCCTCTATGGCGGAAGATGTAAAGTACCGGAAGTCACGTTCGCAGTCCGGAAAGCGCATGGTTTATCATCCTATTTTGAAAGCCAGGGTCTATGCAGTGAGGGACCAATGAGGAGGCAGACTAAGGCGGAAGCGTGTTGGATGGTGGTGACGTGGTGAGGTGGTGATTGTTCCTTTCGGGGAAAGAAAAGGCGGCGTGAAGGTAAGAGCAGCGGGGAGTCTCATAAAACTTGCCTTTAGTCCCGGTGAGAGAAAAGCTCCGTGCATTGATGCGGTCGCGGGCGACTTTGATTAAACTTCGCGGTCGTTCAGCCTTCTCTGTGGCTGAGCTCCTGGGCCTCCACGAGTCTCGTGGGGTTCTCTTTCCCCGCGACCCGCCTTCAGGCAGTACATTAAACAGTGTTTCCTTATGTACTTATTTGGTGCACAAATTCTGGCTCGGGATCGATGTAGGCAGTCTGGGCGTTTTTCTAATGCGTTGGACTGCAGTTTTTGCCAGATAGCCCAATCTGTAAATCTGTACGGATGAATGCCCTGATGCAGCTCATCTAAGACGTGGGAAGGCTCCGTATTTTGTAAGGGCAGCCACTTCCTTCTCTCTGGCATTATTTTCCGCTGATATTATCTCTAGCAACTGCACAAGTCTTCCTGCTGGATCAGCTTCCGCTGCCTTTTTGGACTCCCAGATTCCCCTCGATGACCTGACAGTGTTCTGAGTGGCCTCAATTATGATTCAAGGAATAAGAGGATTGCGGTAAGAGGAATCCAGCAAGATTGTGTGTAAGGGCTAGTGCTTTTTAACTTGCTCATAGATGAGATCAATTTATGGGTAAGCAATGAATTGGTCAAGTGTAAAAATGGTGCCAAAATATATATTAAGAGCCGAGGTGGCGCAGTGGTTAGAGAGCAGTACTGCAGCCACTTCAGCTGACTGTTATCTGCAGTTCGGCNGTTCAAATCTCACCGGCTCAAGGTTGACTCAGCCTTCCATCCTTCTGAGGTGGGTAAAATGAGGATCCAGACTGTGGGGGCAATATGCTGACTCTGTAAACCGCTTAGAGGCCTGAAAGCCCAATGAAGCGGTATATGTCTAACTGCTATTGCTATTCATAGACTATATATTTCAAATGCTTGCAATTTCACTGTTACTTTTAGGTTGAAGGAAGCAAGTTTCCAAATATTAATTGGAGAGAACAATGGTGGAAAGAGAGAATGTAAATTGTTTCTTGCACCCAAGTACTACATAGCATCTGGCCACTGTGAGAAGCAAAACACTGAAATAAAATGGTCCTTGTCCTGATCCAGCAGGATGGTTCTTCCCTTCATTTCCCTTCATAAAATTGTCATTTTTTACAACCTAACCAATAGGATTTTTTGTATGTCATATACTGGTACAAGGAAAGTACAGATTTGGATAAATATCTGATCATCGAAAATTAATGTAGTAATTAAATTGTTTTAATTTTATTTTTTTATTGTATAAGTTACTAAAACAATGTTTTCAATTTTGTTTTTAACAAATTGTTTTTCTTTTAACTAAAAGTCATTAAAACATGGGTAATTAGCATTTTTGTTAAATCAATTTTTCTAAACATTTTGTTACATTTTAAAGGTCACGCAGTATGGAAAATCCTACTTTTGAAGAGATCAGGTACATCTCACTTTATAGTCCTTACATCAGGCCATGTTGTGAATTGGTAAGTAATTAATGAAAAATAACACCTGTGTGAATGTACTATTGGTTGAAATTTCTATTAAGAGCCGTGGTGGCACAGTGGTTAGATTGCAGTATTGCAGGCTAATTCTGCTGACAGCCGACTATTGGGCAGTTTGAGTTTCACCAGGCTCAAGGTTGACTCAGCCTTCCATCCTTCCGAGGTCGATAAAATGAGGATTGTTGGGGGCAATATGCTGACTGTAAATTTGCTTAAAGAGAGCTGTGAAGCAGTGTGAAGTGGTATATGTCATACTATTGCATAGTGTATTTCAGTTATGTCTTTTATTTGAATTTCTGCACAGATATTCTGATAGAAGTTTGGCATCACAGGTGTGAATTGTGCAACCAGGAATTTAAATATATTATTAATTTTGAACACTAGACTATTGGTAATGGTTTCTCAGAAACCATATATGGCAGCATATAACTGAACTTGTCTTGATCCAAACCTAAGCAAGGTTTATTAGGACTTAATTGGAAGACTAGCACTAGGCCGTATAGCTTACTTCAGAAAGTGTTTTATATATCAGCATTTTCTTATTAGTGTTTACCAAAAGTTTTGGAGAAGGGGAGTTTATTCGTTTTCCTGTTTCCAGGAAGAAGGTCATTTAAAAAAACTTTCTCCAGAAAAGAATCAAAAGATTTGCTGGCTTATGCAATATTAAATCAGCTTTTCAGGATACTGATCCTTTGTTAGTCTGCCTTGATACCCAAGTGGGTAGGGAGATGGTTTACAAAGAGAGAACAGTTTTATATTTGTTTTGGTATTGGTTGAAGAGCATTCAACATCCACTTTTGAATTAACACTATTGCTTAACTCAGGGCTGTTTTTCATTTTGCTTCACACTTTTAGAGTGGTACTTATAATGTCTTTGTTTGTAGATGCGTGGAACATTTCATGAATATTCTCCAAAGAAACATGAACAAGGTATTTAAACTGATAATGCTTTTTTTGTTGTATAGTTTTCTTATCTGGGTTCTGTTTAATAGTCCTTGTTATCTTGCTGTACAAAGACAAATATGTGACACCCACTAGTTAGATCCCTGGGCTTGGAGGGATTACCAGATCTTTGTTTTTGATTTTGTCTTTCTCTGCCCCCCCCGGCCCCGTTTTCCCCAATTTTGTGCCATAGGTGATATCTGCCAAATGTGGTGCAGCAAACCTGTTTCTCAGCTGCAGAAATACTGTGACATAATTAAAATATGCACATTTAGACCACTTTTATTTATACCTCATCGTGATCCTACTAAGAAATGCCATGATCCCAGGTAAACAAATATTTATTTGCATTCTGTCTGTCCATTGTATTTTTAAAAGTTTAAACACAGAAAACCTATATATGTTTTACAAAATCTTATGAAAAACAGTTAACAGATTATGAACAAGAAATATATTGGAGCAAGTTATTCAGAGTGACATTGACAAGAGTAATTGTGTAAAAAACCAACTTCAGTGGCTTGAAGCACTAATTCTAAAGATATTATGCATTAAGTCGCAGAATACAATCCTTTCATAGCAGGTATGCTGTGGATTGCCTCCACTGATTGATTGCAGGTATTTGACTTATTGAATGAATGAGGAATACCTGTGGTTTCAGACATAAATACAAATATAGAGCAAATCCGATATGTTGTAATGTCCTTTATAAAAAAAAAATACATATTTCCCAGCGTATAGAATTTCATAAATAATAATGCCTAATTGATTTTAAACATCTTTTTTTCTACATTTAACAGTTGCCAATTTGATGAGCTAAATTTGGAGAAACTCTCTCAAATTGAGATTTTAGAAGATGTTACTGATATAGTAAAAAAATTTGCTGTAAGTATTTTTTTATTTTTTTTTCAGCTGTCCAAAATCTTAATGCTACATTAATCTACATTAATACAGGAATGACATAAAAAGTGGCTGCATATTTCTTAAAGAACAGTGTGTTTCAGAAAAATTATCCGTTATTATTGTCTTTCTTAGGACTTCCAAGTTTAGTTGAAGTTAAAAAAAAACTTCATATGATTGCTCTAACCTTGTAATAAATCATATGATTATTCTAGACTTTTGCATATTTGAAAGTCTTAGGTTTGTAAAATATATTCCAATGGCTTTATTTTGAAAAATTGAAAGTTTGAAAAATTATTGAGCCAAAAAAATAAAAGTGAGAGTTGTATTTTATATATCTGAGTTTATGGTATGCAAAACAATCATGTATCACTGGAGCTATCTATGTGCTCTGCAAGCTTAAGTACTGTGCATTCTTGCTCTCTGTAACATAAATGAGGCATTATAACCGAAAGAAAGTGTATGATTGCTCTTGCTGACAAGCTTTTTCTTCTCTTACTTCCAGGATGATCAACTTTTCATCAATGGAATATTGACAACTGAAACTGATTTAGAGAAGGTAAGTTTGGTTTGAACTATTTATTCAGATAAACTCTTTGTATCTTTTTTGTTCCCCATAAGGGACTTGGTCATGATTTAAAATACATATGTCAAATATAAAAGTCCAAAGTAATCATATACGTTATCTGTCATAATGAATTTGATAGAAATAAATCCAGTGTTTTGTACACATGCTTACTTATAATGCATATGCGTAATAGAGAGAGAGTTTAACAATAGTTCTTATAAATTTATAGGTTGTATTGTACTTCTGACATAGATGCTGTACTCGTGTATAATCATTTACTGTACATAGTGAACTGACTTTCACTTTTGCTTACAAAGAGTCAGTCTCTCAGAGACTTCATGTTCCTGATTCCTTATCAATAAATGTCCAAGAACGTCCTGTTCATTTCAGTAGACCTTGCATAAGCCACAGAGGAATTTTTGTTGAGAAACCAGGCTTCTTGTGAAAATAGTATCTTTAGTATCATTTTTTGCAGCTTTCTTTTGATGTCCTTTGTTATTACTTGTTCATAATAATCAGAAGCAGTTCCTCAGGTTGACATCCTTACCCAGTTATTATTCATTGAACAAATCTCACTTATTTTGTGTGCTTCACTTCAGCTATTTTAAGTTTTTATACATGCTAAAAGTTACATGCAAATCAATGTTTTTGCTTATTAATTATTAATAATTAGCTTATTAAGTTGTATGTGAATAAATTAAAATATTATATAAATAATCATATAAATTAACTTGTATCACTACATTTTGCCACAGATGTTAAAGAGAACCAGTTTGGTCTAATGGTTAAGGCACCAGGCTAGAAAACAAGAGAGCATGAATTTAAGTTGTGCCTTAGCCATGAAAGGCAACAGGGTGACCTTGGGCTAGTCACTTCTCTCTCAGTCTAACCTACTTCACAGGGTTGTTTTGTAAGGATAATAGGAGGAGGAAGATATCTTGGATTTATTTGCTGCCTGAGTTAATTGTAAAAAATAATAAAGGCAGGATATAAATAAAATAATGTAATTAAACATTTAGATTTGGGGAATGCAGGTTGCCCATTCTTACTTGGTGCAGGAAGTATTGTTTAAGATTTTGCTAAGTCTACTGCAGTGTATTACTGAAAGAATTCCTTTGATATTTTAGTAAAAAGTGTATTAGATAATATATTGCTATTAATGACTTGCAAAAGTGGTTGCATAGGATATGCTAATTTCTGTGGTTTGCTAGTTTTATGTATGGTGGCAACTATAATTTAGTTAGGTTGTAGTATTGTATTATTTTAATATGTTGCTTATATTGATTCAATCAATAAACTAATAATGATCTTCTAAAACAGTAGTTTAATGCCTATTTTCTTAGTTTAATATGTTAAATGTGAATTGTGTTTTCCTTTCTGTAACAGACAAGGTTAGTAAGGAACACATTTGTGAAATGTGCTCAAATTTAATTATACTGAATATAATTACGAAGATAATTAAAATAATACTGATATTTTCCTTAATTGTAATAGGGAATACTTAGAACTTCTGAAGTTTTAGAGTGGATGAAATATGCGGATCACATTGGCATTTTACAGAAATTAAGGAAACTTGCAGATTATTGTTGTTGGTCTATCCTCAAACTGTTCTTTTCTGCATGTAAGTATACAAATGATTTAAACTTCCTATAATTAGTTTAGGAAGCATTTTTTTTTCTATAAAGGAAAGAGGATTTTTGTAGTCTTAAGGTGAAATAAAAAGCTAGTTGTTAATGTAAATCTTGTCTTATATATTACAGCTTTCATTCAGAGTTCCATTACAGGAAAGGCTCTTACTGTCTTTGATAGATGTCAGTCATTTCAAAAGTTTCCCCTGAGAGAGGACTAAGGAAATACCATTTTCTCTTAAGCTCTCTATGCTGCATCATATCTCATTATGCAATTGACCTTGAGGAGAAACTTTGGAAATACTGAGAAAATACCATTTCTGTCACCCACTTGTCAAGAGACTTCTGGATCTAACTCCATATCCTCTTACTTCTTGTACTGATTCATTTAGTGTCTACCTCATTACAATCAAACAAACATAACATGCTACTGCATGTTACCACAGATTAAGAAGTAATAATGAAAATGTTAGTGGGGAAAACAAGTTCTTATCTTTCTTTAGTTAAACGCTAAAAAATTAACACTGTATTGCCCAAGCATTAAGCATTTGGATCCAGTCTTAGTTTTGCCTAATGAAGTTGCAATTATCATTAGTGATATAAACTCTTTAATATTTCTACTCTTTTTTTCAATTGAAACAATTTTAAAAGATGAAATAAAAAATATATTGGATGGTTAAATTTTGGTTAGATAAGTATAAAATAGATGCTGGAATCTATAATTATTTCAAATTATTTTATATAGAGGATTAGCAAACAAAAACATATCTAATTCATGGTGATCCACCAGGCAGAGTAAACTTTTGTTACATTTTACTCATAGCAGCAAGATGGGCAGCAAATTTAATAAATAAAAATTTAAAAAACAACTTTTTAATGGGATTTTTTTTTACATCAAGTGTATGAATTATTGTAAAGAATGTCTCACTTTTCTGCAGAATTCACATTGCCAGGGATTGAAATGCTCCCTTTGAGCAATGTAGGATACATCAGGATGTTTTTATTAAGTAATATAGAGTAGAATTAAGAGTTCTGAACCAGTGTTACCTTGTGCAAGCTTTTCTTATTCATTATTGGAAATAGAATGTTTTTTTTTAATTCTATGATGTATTTTATTCAAAGTATATACTGTAAGTGGGATTCACCTTAATGTAATCATCTATTTGCTTGAATTGTTTTTATTACATCTTGACAGAAAAAAGCGGAGTGCCCAATCACAAAGGGCAAAAAGCATCTAATATTAGTGTTTGTCCATACTGCAAGCAACCATAGCTGAAAAACAGTTGAGTGTTTCAGGAACTGAGCTGGAATTCTGCCATTGGGCAATTGCTGTTGTGCTGGATTGCTGTGAACATCCTGGGCCCCAAAAGCTTTATTAGCTTTGTGTGATTAAATAGTGGAGCATATGCGTAACTCAGGACCTCCCATGTGGTGTTACCCCCTGTGAAACTTGTAGATGTATGGCCTCTGGACATTACTACTCTATTCCATTCCATCCCATAGCTCTGAAAGCCTTTTAGTGTCCCATTGTTATTAATACAGCACCATTTGCTGCCTTTAGGAATGCTGGCTTTAGCTTTCCTATTAACTCATTTTAAATAAAGAAGAACTTAAGGCCATTTGTCCTTAAAAGGAGATTGTACATATTTCAGTACTATACCTCTTAGCAGCAAACAATCAATGCAGTTATCTTAATTGAGCATTTTATTTCTTATTACAGATAAGTATTATATAAGTAAAGTTACTTTGGAGGACTACAATTTAGTAGAAGCCTTTGAATCTTATTATTGTGACAACTGTATGATGGTGAGTTTTTTAAAAAAAAATTACATATCACAAAAATTGAAGACTAATTTAATAATGAAATGCATCTATCCTTCCATCCATCCATCCATCCATCCATCCATCCATCCATCCATCCCTTTCTAACTTGCCCATTTCCATCAGAGAGGGGGTTCTGGGTGGTTTTATCTGGTCTTTGTGCCCTATCTATCTATCTATCTATCTATCTATCTATCTATCTATCTATCTATCTATCTATCTATAAAAATGTAATGGTTGTTTGTTCAAAATCGCTAATCTCCGAAAGTTATTCACCGATTGCTTTGAAATTTTGACACAACGTTGCATTCAAATACGTGAATGCTTTTATATACGTATATTATATAGATATCACACCTGTGACAGATAAAAACATGCTTTTTTGAAAACCAGCGCCATCTGGTGGACGTAAAAGCAACACAAGCTATACTAAATATTTCATGATTCCATTTCAATGTTTCCGATTGCATTGTTATATTGAATTTTCATAGATTTTGATTTATTTTCATTTTGATTTATTTCGTGACATTGCATAGGAATTGAGCTGTGTCATTTACCATAGCGTTCATTTAGTGAGTATAGTATATTCGGAACAGTTCGGCCTCTCTCCAGCTTCGTCCTGACGGTCCCTTTATATGTGTGGCTGGGCTGCGGCCGAGCCCTTTCCCCTTTCTGCCCCTCCTCTAATGAGCTTTGGCCATTTCCTCCAAGGGAAGCCAAAGCCCTTCGGCCTCCCCCTCCCTTCTCTCCCCTCCCCTCCCGCCGGGCTTTTGCTGTCTGCGGCGGGGCGCCACCTGCACCATTCCTCAGCTGCCATCCCTCGGCCGCTTCCCCCTGCCCTTAAGCCAGCCTCCCCCCGCCCAGCCCAGCGGAGCTCAGAGGAGGCAGAGGCGGAGCGTCTCCTCAGCCCGGCCGGTCGCGCATGCTCTCTACCCCTCCCCTCACAGTGAGCCAGCTACGGCCTCGCCAAGGTGGCTCTGATGGGGTGGCGGCAGCAGTGTCAGCCTGAGGTGCAGCGGGGCTGGGGCGGCCCCTGGGTGCCCCGTGAGGCGGCACACTGAGGACTTCTCCTCCTCCGAGATCCTGGATGTCTCACTCTCCCGGGCCACCAACTTGGGGGACCCCGAGTGCAGCTCCTCCTCCGAGATGCCCAACAACTTCCACGAGGCCAACAGCCCCGGCGCCGCCTCCCCCAACCAGCCTCGCCCGACCCAGCAGCCCCGAGTCCTGACTAACAGCAGCACTCACCTACCATCCCACTACACCCAGACTGGGCCACAGCAACGCGTGGCCGGGTACAGCTAGTATATAAAATATATTATCTCTGCATTATTTACTTTCTTGTTTCTTTAACAAAATGTATGTGGATGCCCAACTCACTTTCACTGACTCATAATCCTTACAATGATTATGGAATGTAAACAGACATTTCAAAACAACAAAGCTAGATACCGTTATGCATAAGCTTTGATGTAATCATAGAGTGTGGGCTTTGGTTCTTCCATTCATTTCAGTAAAGTGTACCGTCTTTTTACATTGTGTATCTTGATCACTGCTAGAATAAATGACTTCATGCAAACTAATGTTTAAATTAGAATGAGAATGCTCATAATTTTGAAATGATTTACTAGATGATTATTTATTATTTGTTGTTGCTATTTGATTATTACGGATATGTTTCTAATGCTCTACATTGCATAGGCCAAAAATCTTAAAATAATTTAATAACAGCATCATTGTTCATAGAGATTTTACAGACCAAATCTTGTATATTGCAATTTGAAAATAATTTCTATTTCTTGTTAATTTTATTTTGTAATATTTTATTACAGAACAGTGAGAATATGAAAAAAAGGGGAAATGAAGCATTTGCTAAGGATAAATTTGATAGTGCAGTCACTTTCTATACAAAAGCTATAGAACTATGGTAAGGGATAAATTATGTTACTATACAAAAGCATGCTAATGTCCAAAAATTAAGTTTGGGAGAATGTAATTAGAGTAGTGTAATAAAGGAGAAAGGGAGGAATATAGCATTTTAAATTTGTAAAACTTTCTAATATAAGGACATTCACATGAAAGTATATTCATGCTTTCAGATGGCTAATTCTTAACTCTTACGGTCAGTAGCATCTTTTCAAATAATTGCTGTGGCCATATTAGTTGAGACCAGTATTTATTCGGATTATTAAGACCCACAAAGGATTTCTAAACATTTCAGATAGTGAATAACATTACTGGTTTTCTGATTACATCTGGATTAAGAATTTACTTATGCAGTCTTTTCACTTGATAGCCATAATTCACTTGATCGTGCACACACATAGACAGCTACTTCAATTAACTGAAACATATGTGTCCATGATTCAGTGGATGGATTCTGAGATAAGTACATCACACTGTAGATGGATAAGATATTCAGGTTTTGCACCAGACTACTGACAAAGACACACAGTGGGATCCCCAGAAGTTCCAAGTCAGTCCAAGATGGATAACCAGGATAAATTGAGAATGGTGCCATTAATAACACATTGTTTCCAGCAGCTTGCTAACAATTAAAGGGATTTAAAGTTTTAGAGCCTGCATGCATAACATGCTTTGATAAATCTTTACTGATAAGTTAAGACATGCCCTTCAAAAGTTGCTTTATATTTGTAATCCTGATCCCATAAATGATTATGTTCTCTAGGCTTAACTTCATAATGGAACTAGCCTGACCCTAAGCCCTCATCTCTGTTTGTAAGGAAAGAAAAACATGCAATATTCATATTGATTCACCTTCGTTTTCATTTCAACAGTCTTCTCAGGAGAGAAAGCATAAAAGTAGATTGTCCATTAAGAATTAATTGTTGAGGAATGAGCAATATATGCACTGTTGTTAGCAAGATCAGTTTATACAAACTGCTGTAATTCTGCTATTTAGCCACATGTTGACTAGTACTAAAAGCCATGCCACTTGCATTCTGTCTAGAGTCAATTCTCATAAAATTTGTTCTGTAGATAATGTTTTTTTTTTTTAAAGATGAGTATTTCTTCAAACTCAATTTACACATTAAATTTTGATACCTTAAAATTTCATTTGAAATAATTTATGGCTAATTGTTTATGTTTTTCTTTATGGCTTACAAGCTAAATTTTATCTAACCTTTTTTTAAGGCCTGAAAATCACTTTCTTTATGGCAATCGAGCTCTCTGTTTTCTCCGAATTGGACAGTATCGGTAAGTATGGTTTCCCCCTTGCAACTGAGAGATTTGCTGGTTTGAACATATTCTTAAATCATGTTGCCATGATTGTAATAGCAAAGAAACATTCAGTTTGTTCATTTGCAAAATTACATTATTTTACAGAGTAATTCAACATATTCTGTGCCTGTGGTTTAAATCAGCGCATAGAGAAAAGTGCACTCAGACCATAGATTATTTAACAACTATTTTGAAGTAGGGAGAGAAAAGTCACTTTTTAAAAAATGTAATAAGAATGTTTTGTAGATAATAAGTTACATTTGTAATCTGTGAAAGTTCCCTCTGACTATGAAAATCCTTGGTGCTCTGAGACCTTGGCTGTTTTCTCCAGACCTCAGCAGTACAGCTGTGCACAATTGATGTTATCTACTTTGGGCAATAAAACATCTGAAAGAAAACAACCAAGCTCAGAGATCACCAAGGACTCCTTATTTCAATCCTGAGCTACAAATGTTCTTCTCCATAGTTCTCTTTTTAAAAAGGTTTAATTCTAGAATTCACATTTTAGAGATGTTCAGGGTTTATGTCGTGGGTTTATCAGTGCAAAAGGACAGCATTCACTTTAAAAAATAATATCCCATTAAATATAGTCAATCTTCATTGAGACCATTGTGTAAAACAATAAATAAGCCTTTATAAATATAATTATTATCGTTTATTGCTTTTTTTAAAAAGTTGCATTTATCTTTTTTAGTCTATCAATAAATGAGACAAAAAAGTAAATATCAATAACTAGAATTCAAAAACTACAGAACTAGTTGAATTTACTATTTTGAAAGAAGTGCTGAAAAACATATACAAAAATATAAAATAGAAAGATATTTTGGATGGTTGGCCAATTTCAACACTGCTTTAGCAAAACAGTAGGTTTTCTGCTGGTGAGTTTATCTAAAGGTGACCTTGTATAGCCCTGCCTCCCTGTCAATTATACACCATCCTCCATAATTGAATTGCTGTGGCTGGGAACTTTCTGGAAAAGTAGGGATTTAAATAGGATTGACAGACAGAAAGGAAGATAAGGAAGTAGATTAAAAAGCTGCAAACTCCTTTGATTCTTGAAAAATCTGGCTGAGGGAGCCAACTCTTTCTTTTATGAGAAAGGCAAAATGGAATGTTATGACCTTCAGCCTTCAATGAAGGGGAATAAAAGCCAAGCCACTTTATCTGAGTCTTGGCAGAGTAGAGAAAAGAAAAAATCTAGGTGACAGTTTTCTTTAAGTTACTTGCCCTATTTCTTCTTTCCTTATCCAATCAAAGTAAAAACTTTCAGGCAAAGTAAAGGGGTTATTGGCAAGTTTTTGTCAAAAAACATTTGTCTCAGAACAAACAGCATGGAACACTGTAGTTACCATTATTCAGAACACAGTATATCAGCAATTAGGTACAAAGAGTACCTACCAGTACTAGAACAATGAGTGCGTGTTAATCGTATTGTGTCAGACTCTGTCAAAATCCAGTTCTCAGCAGGATGAAACTGATTTTGCCTAACAACTAAATGATAGCTAGGGAAATCCAAGACACATTTCCAACAGACATAGCAAAGCCAAAAAAGCTTTTGCTAGTTATATCTTTTCACACCCTTGCTTATCGCTGTAAATAAAACTTTGTTTCAAAGTCAAAATGTTGGAAAACCTTGTTTCTTATTTGAAATCACAGTTTTGCACTCAAGCTGCAATATTTCATGAAATTTGATAATTAAAATGTTTTGCAGACCCCAGTGTGCTCATTCATCAGACACTGCAAAATTAAACATGTCTATTAGCAAAGGCAACTTGGGGAAAAAGCATGTAAATTTTATTGATGTGAAATTGTATTGGTGTTCTGGAGGATTGTGCTATTTTTCTATATTTTTCTGGTGAACATTGCTTCTTTTTCTATCTGGATGACTAAGGAAAATTTTGAAAAATTGAGAATGAACAGGAACATATAACCTTCTCAAAGGAAGGTACCGATAGTCCTCTACTTATAATCAGTCACTTAGTGATGGTGAAAGTTACAACATTCATCTTTACGACTTAGAATCTTCAGTGACTCTCCCAGTTATCCCACCATCCCATCCCACTGAGTCCCCACAGTCCTTGGGCCAGCTTCACTCCCCACACTGCCTTAAGCCTGTTTCCCAAGCATCTGAGTCCCCTACGTTTGTAACTACCACCCATTACACATCTCACACTTACCTTTTTGAAGATCTCCAGAGTGCCAGACTACATGTTGGGGAAGGAGGATAGTCTACTCTGTCCCGCAGTATCCCTGGGCCATTTGGCTGCATCTCAGAAGCGCCCACCATTTTCAGAGTAGTCAATTCCTTATGACTGTGTCAAAATGGCCACTTCTGGGATGCAGCCATGTATATCAGAGACAATGTAACCCACTCTGCTTTCCTAACACAGTCTGTATAGCTTTGTCCCTGGGCCATGTGGCTGCATTGGAACAGCACAATTTCCTGCAGCCACACTGAAAATAGCAGCTGCGTCCAGGACAGCCACAAGGCCCAGGGACCCTATGGGGTGGAGTGTCCTGCCCTCACACATCACAAAGTCCAAAGCTCTTGAGATCTTTGAAATGTAAGTGAACAATAGGTGGTGGGGGAAAGTGAGTAGAAAGTGGGCTTTTTGGGGATCCCAAGGGATGGGAATCAGAGTCTCGGGATGGGAGAGGCCTTGGGAGACTGAGGGCAGGCAGACCTCGGCCTGGTTGGCCTCCCAGGACTTTCCCCACCCTGAGGAATCTTTTGCTCTGCTTAATGACCTGCATGGTCATTTAATGACAGTCCGCAGAATTGTCTGGGATGCTACACATCCTCTTCACAACCTTGTTTTCCTTGTTACACTCTGGGGGGAAGCTTTATAGTATCCAAAGCAGAACATCCAGATTCAGCCAGTTTTTTGCCATACAGCATCAACCTTGTGAACTCACAAGCTTCCTCTTTCCGCTATGTATTCAAGATGGATAGTGATTAATCTATATATATAAAAGCCAAATATCATTCACACATCACGAAATCTCCAGAACCATAAAGCCTACAAACTTTAAATTTGTTACATATGTTCCTCTTGGCTTCTAGGTGCTCACTAAGAAAGGATGTTTCAAAATGACCATCAGATAGTATTTTTAATGCAGTAATTAACATGCTCTGGTGCTAAGGAATTCTATTCCTCCTCCCCACCTGAAAATAACTCTGTTCCAACTGCCAGTTACCTCACATTCCGTTACCTCAGTTCAAACGGGCAGATGTTCCACTACAGTCAGGAGCGGTTTGGGGTTCCTTACAGTACTAAACACTGGTACCTCACCAAAATGTCTACGCCTTCCACCCATGGAACTGCTTCTGGACTCCAGGAGGTATATTTCCTTATGTGTTTCAATCACCGACATGTGTTTCAATCGCTGACCACCACTGAACCAACGGAATGAACCGGAGTGAACCAGATTTCTCCTGCATTGCCCGATCATATAGTTTCATTGCAAAGCATGGGTATCCAGCTAGTATTTATATATATTTATACATTAGGGTGTAGATATATACATATGTATGTATTATAGCATATCTATATGTGTGTTATGTATGTGTACTCTTTTGAGAGCAGTCAACAGAATTTCATTTTTAATGTGTGCCAAAGTGCCCACAGGAAAAAAAATGACAATAAAGATTACTGTATCTTATCAGGGTGAGCAAGGTTGGGGACTGTTAAATGAAGCGACCACGTGATCATTTCACTTAACAAACATCATTCTTGCGACTGCAATTGACAGGTTTCTATTATGATCATATTAGGTCAGCTTTGGTGTGGAAGGCAGTATTAGAGTTTAGAATATTCTTAATTGCATGTTATGTAAAATATTCTTAAATTAGTTTTTGTGCCCTAATTCTCTAATGCATTACATAGAAAACTGCATTACAAATAAAATTTTAATTGAAATTAATTTGGTTTTCCATTAATTTATTTGTGTTTTGATATGTTCTGAAAAATACAAGCAGAACTGATATTCACAATAAAAGAAAAAAGTGAAACTTAAGTATCTTTTCCCTTCAAAAACTATTACGCTATGAGAAGAATGAAGCCTTTTAATTCTTCCAAGGTTGGTTTGAGAAGGCAGAGCCATCTTCTGTCTTAGTGAAGTTAGAATATTCCAGAAGAACAGAAAACTATTACAGTCATGAAGATGGCTTTTCCTGAAAGGTCTCAAAATGTAACTTTATAAATGACAATTTTTTCTCAGGTTTATTAAAATTTTGTCATTTGAAAATATTTTCAATTTGAATGAAAACATTTTACTAAATTGTTTGTGCCAAATATATTTTTGTTTTAGAAAAGCCTTGTGTGATGGAAAGAGAGCAATTATTTTGAAGCCCTCTTGGCCTAAGGTTAGTTGTACTTATCCTATAAATTTGTTTTGTTATGATTCAAGTTTGAGATTGTACATGAAAATAATTTAGTAATGATGTTTCCATTGTATTTAATCCTGTCAATTCTGGAAGTTATGGGTTTTGAGAGCAATCCATTTCTAGCAGTATGAGGACATGCAAAATAAAATATACTGAATTATTATGTCTCCTGATGATTAATGATGATATCATTAATAGTATCATTAAAACAGTTGGTTGTTTATCTGCAGATTTTTTTAAATGAGGGGCCCCAAGAAAGAAGCATAGAAAGCAATTATAATTTGGAGATTAATATAGATTCTTGAATAATCCAATTGCCCCAATGCAAAGATGATAAAATGCCATAGTAGATACTGTGTTTCCCTGAAAATAAGACAGGGTCTTATTTTCTTTTGACTCCCGATTTTAGCCTTATTTTTGGGGAAGTCTTATTATTTTTGAGGTACAGGAGGCGGCCAGTATGGTCACCTCATGGCTGCTGCTGTGTTGCAATATTTTCAGGGAGGGATTATTTTGAGGGTGGGGTTTATTTTAGTGCATGCTCTCAAAAGCCCGATTGGGCTTATTATCTGGGGAGGTTTATTTTCGGGGAAACGGTATGTATTCTGTAGCTCACTCTAAGATCGATATAACTATAACTTTTCATTTGGTATACTCCCAAATCCTTCATTTACATGCTTGAATATTTTTATTAGAATAGCAACTGAGTAAATGAAATAGTGTTAACATTTAATCATCAGTCTAGTGCAAGTTTATGTCTGTGTATAATATTGAACATATTTCTTTTTCCTCTCAGTGACATAGGATTGGGTTGCAGTATGAAGTAACTAGCAAATTAAGAAATGTTAATATTTGACACCCTTTTATTTTAAAATGACATTAAAACTTTTCCACTTTTTGTAGGGACATTATCGATTTTGTGATGCTTTATCATTCTTGGGTGAGCATAGGAAGGCATTAGAAGCCAATGAGAGAGGTCAGGTCCTGTGCAGAGAGAATCCTGAAGGAGTGAAGGGTCTTATTGAGCAACATGAGAAGCTTAAAAACCAAATGGAAGACGCTAGAGGTAACCATATCTTTGTTTAAAGTATTTCTTTTTATTATTAATTCAATTTATAAAATAAATATTGAATGAAAATAAAATTAGTGAAATAAAAGTTAAAATTGTGTATTCTGTATGATACGAGTTACTCAGATTTTTTTATTGCATTTAGGTATAAAGCAAAATAAATACAGACTAAAGAAACAACTGTTGCAGAAAAAGTAAGTTTAATTCAAAATTCACATTTCTAAGTAAATGAGAACCTAATAATAACTGTTTGAAACAAATTGTTTAAAACAAGATGGGTGGCAAATTTAATAAATAAAATTATTAATTTTTTATCAGACCAATTTTTGTGTTAATACCCATACTTAACCTATAAGTGTACACATATATTCTTTGTATATTTTATCCCCTTTGGGTAAGCAATATTTACCAATGGTCAAAAAGAAATAAGTAATGGACAAAAGTAATTAAAGGGAAGAGATAAGAGAAAGGGAATCTAATATTACACCCACACCATTTACTATATCCATACTTTTCTATTCTTGAGGACCATCCTTGCTTCCACTAGGTCTATAAACCAATTGATAAATTGCCTTTGTTTTTTAACTCTGTTTTTTGGAAGATGTCCTGAACATCACCCTGCCATGATTTTTTTCCTTCTATCTTTTCCTTTTGATCCATTCACCTACTCTTCACATATTTCTTCTGTAATTTAACCCTAAAACATTCTCTCTCTATAAGAGAGATAGTTTGGCCTAATGGTTAAGGCACCAGGCTAGAAAGCAGGAGGCTGTGAGTTCTAGTTCCATCTTAACTATGAAAACTAGCTGGGTAATCTTGGGCCAAACACTCAGCTCAACCCATTTTCCAGGGTTTTTGTGGGAGAAATAGGAGGAGGGAGTAATGTGTGTGCTCATCATCTTGAGTTATTTATAAAAAATAATAAAGATGGATATAAATAATAAATAATCAGTAGTTCCTTATACTGGTATTTATTTCATAATGTCATTCTTTACCCTCTCTGGGTTTACCCAATTCCCATTTCTGTATAACAAAGTCAGCAGAATGAATATATATTTACATTTTTTTCTTTAGTTGCATACTCCATATACAATACATCCTTTTTATGTTTCTATCAATATTTGCATGTTTTAAAATTTCTCAGTGCACCCCATTTTAATAAATATTTATCAAAGATTTTATTAACATGAACTCAGTCAACCCAAGAGAATCACTTACTCCTCTGTTTGAATATTATTTATTTTATTAACAAAGATTGGTTATATTATATTGCTGGTTGGTAACATACCTCATGATACTATTGTATATATATAGATTATTAAAATAATAATTGCCTTAACAATCTTTGAAATTTATGTTTAGTTATGTATTTGTGCTTGATTAATTCCATTAGTTCTTCAGAGTATGTGTCAGTTGGTAATCAAGAATCAAAAAAATCTCACAACGAAAACAAAAAACTATGTGATTCTCATCACCATCCTAGCCAGCAGAAGCAAACAAATGTAAGTTATAAATCAATGTATTAATGAAATAAATAGGAAAAAAAATCCACCTCGAATTTGTCAAATATAAAACGAAACAGAGAAACTTAGACAGACTGCAAGACTGATGTTCGCAAGGTAAAAATAGAGGTGTTGCAGGGATTTCAGGAATGCTATTTGTTGCACTATGGTGAAATAACAGAATCTTGAAAACCTTGTGTTACAAATGAAACTTAAGGAACTATGCTAGGCAAATATTCTGGGGAATTTATTTCATTTTTATCTTTCAAAAATAAGGAAGCTGGAAGGGCATTACAGACTACAAGATTGTGAACAAATATGTTTAACTCAGCTGATTATGGAGAACATCCAATTGTAAATGTGTCAGAGGACTATATTGCACAGAGAAATATGCAGCATCTACTGTAGCAGGATCTCATTCTTTACTCTAATCCCTATTTTATGCTATTAGATACTTCACTACTAAATGGGAATCATATATAACTATAGTCAAGTCTGATGCAGCCATAGTGATTCTACTTATATTATATTGGCTAATTCTGTACACAGTTGTCCCAAATTCTCAACTTTTTTGGCTGTAGGACTTGGTATGCATTTATTGTAGCAGGATCTCATTCTTTACTCTAATCCCTATTTATGCTGTTAGATACTTCACTATTAAATGGGCATCATATATAGCTGTAGTCAACAGTTGTTCAATAAACATAACTTATTTTGTCTAGAAAGTTCCATATTTAAATAATTTATGAGATCATTATGAATCATAATTTGTTGGTGCCATAGGAAAGATGTGTATGTCACTACCTCATTAAAGAGGTGTTTTCTTCTTTACCAGATTGGTATTGGTATTGGTATTGGTATTTTATTATTTGTATGCCGCCCTTCTCCGGGAGGACTCAGGACGGCGAACAATTCAAAGGGGAAAAAAAGGGGGAACATAAAAGACAAAATACAAATAATAAAAGTAGGCAACAGTCGCACAACCATACATGTCGAGAGGGGAGGGAACTCATCACCCCCAGGCCTGCCGACAGATTGGTGAAAGATAAAATGATAATTGAATATTTGTACAGATAAATTTTGTCAGTATCTTCAGCCCTTATCTCATCAATTAGTGTTCAACTGGATTTCATCCTACCGACAAATGGCTCCTAGAAGGAAGGCATTTTTAGCCAACTTGTAAAATATAGAATTCAGTGGAAAAGCCTATATAGTATTATTGAGGCTGTAACTGCTAGGCCATATGAACATCTGGGGGAGGTCTTTCTCTGTAGCTGCCCTGGCCCTGTGGAATGATCTACCCGCAGAGATCCGGACCCTCACCACTCTCTCGGCCTTCTGTAAAGCCACTAAAACCTGGCACGCCTGGGGCTGTTGACCCCAAATACGGTCCAGCCCCACTTAGAACGGAGTGCATGATGTGTTTTAAATCTATGTTTTTTAAATCTATCTTTTCCTCTCTTCTTTTCTTTTTGATTTATGTTGTATTGTAAGCCGCCCGGAGTCCTACGGGATTGGGCGGCATACAAATGTTATTAAACTTCAAACTTCATCTGTTTTCTCAAGCTTCTGTTCTTGTATTGTATTTATTTCTTATCATCATTGCAGTAAAAAAGGATTTTAGAGTTGGTAACCATCAATCTCCTAGAACTTTGTACTACTTTCCAAGACTTTACCCTTGTGAGAATATGACTTTTGCAGGTCTCATGAATATATTTTGTTTTTCTTCATACCTCTTAACACTCAAACTTTAGATACTCTTAGAATATTAAAATTTCTTATGAAGCTTAATATTTTATTAGTTTTGGATGAGCTTTCCAGCTTTCCCATGTCCCACTGTACCTAGTAAAGAATTAAAGTTTCCTGTATTACTGGGGCCAGATGACTAAGGTTACATTTACTCTATATGAACTTTAATATCCAGAAACTAAAATATCTCATGTGATTCTACATCATAGCAGCATTCTCCATTAATGAACCTTTTTAGAGAGAAAATTCTAAAACCCTTCCATGTTTACCAGTTATAACAAGCATGAATCTTTATCCTTGTAGCATCAAAGGGTGAATTACTTTTTACATTTGCTTGGAAAATAGGAATCAAGTATCAGTGAGATTTCTGCTATTCCTTCCACTTTATTTGTTTAGAGCAGGCACTAGCTTGTTTTCTATTTCAATTTATCTCAAGTATTCTTCTTCACTTTTATAATCTCTTCTCTCTTTTTGTTTTTCACTATTATAGTACCTTAGAAATTTGTTTATTTAACTCCACTGTTTTTATTATCTGCACTCATGAGTCCTTCCTTCTTCATCTGTGGACTTATTTTGATGATGTCAGAAAAAATAGAAATAAACAATGAGTTGTGTTTTTGGTAGATTATTTTCCACAGAGAGTAAGCACAATAAAAAAGCCTCAATGAACTTCCAGCGGTCTTTAGATGTGCAGATTGAGGTGCTCCTGTCCTGGGCTTTTGATCATGAGGATGTGTATATTAAGATGTTGCCCTGAGGATATGTGAGGAAGGAGGATTGCCCTTAGATGTGTAGATACCTCCTTAGGTGTAAAGTTATTATGAGAGGGTCTGATGTGGAATTGTGATTTCCCCCCTTATCTTGAGGGGAATTCTCTTTCTTGATGGAGCCAGTGAGGTGCTCTTCATCATTTTCAGTCTTAAGTATAAATGCCAAAAATAGAAGACAAATGGAAAAAAGGTTTCAGTGGTTTCTTTGTATCTTTATTTTGAATTTGCCAGTGGATCAAAGGTGCCTGGGGAATGTGTGACCTGGCTGTGGGGATGGGTGCCATAGGGGCTTTTATCTTCCAAAACTGCCATTAAATGTCTCTGCCTGTACTCCTTTCCCCTCCTCTACCTGAAGACAAATTTCGTAGCAGAGCCATACCAATTTTGCCTCAGTTAAAGTTTAAAGGGGTGTGGTGGAAGCACATTAGAATTTTAAAAAATAACCAACAGTGACTTCCAGTGTGAAGGAATGTTCCCCCTGAGAATCAGATTGCTATTTGGTTTGGCTAAGACTGCTAAACTCTGGACATTTTTGCAAAATATTCAGTCTCAGTCTTTTCTTTCTATGACTGGGAATGTGGCTTCTGTTCTTCATTGTAGCATGTCAAAACTTGTCTTCCATCAGCATGCATCTTTTTTTTTTTGGAATCCCAAACACAGAGATGGTACAGATATACTACATTTACGATCTCTGATTCTGAGAAAAACTTTTCCTGACTATTCTTCAAATAAAACCAGAATCCATAACAGCATATCCAACAATTCTCATTTGCTGCCCTTTCCTTTACATCCAGATAAAGGAGGCAGTAATACTGTATTTTTATCCTAGGGGCAGTACCTATTAATAAGAGGAAGACTTTTATTACTTTAACTTATCTAGGAAGCTTAAAATGCAGATCAATGGATCATTTTAACTCTGAAAGATGTCTTCCATAAATAAATAAAAATACAGGTATCCTTGACTTACGATCACAATTGACCACAAAATTTCAGTTGGTAAATAAATATTTATTGTGAATTTTGCTCCATTTTATGACCTTTCTTGCCAGTTCTTAAGTGCACTACTTCAGTTGTTACGTTAGTAATATGGTTGTTAAGTGAATCTGGCTTCCCCATTGACTTTGCTTGTAAGAAAGTTGCAAAAGATATCACATGACCCTGGGACACTGCAATCTTCATAAATATGAGTCAGTTGCCATGCATCTGAATTTTGATCCTTTGACCATAGGGATGCTATAATGGTCATGTGAAAAACAGTTATAAGTCACCTTTTTTAGTGGCATTGTCACTTTGAATGGTCACTAAATGAACTGTTGTAAATTAAGGCCGACTTGCATTAAAATGTTTCATGCTTAGATTAAATTCTTTTAGTCTGGATGTGTTTGGTACATAATATAAAAAATAACATTTTTTTTATTGCCAGATGGTTGGAAGTATAAAAACTAGAGTTGGTAGAGAAAACATAGATCATTTATCAGTTTTTCCAGCAGGTAAGTTAATACATTTTTAAAGTCGTATGTACTTAGATTGAGAGACTTCTAGTAATAAAATAACTAGTGAAATTAAAAGATTTTAAACAGTTGGTATAAGATTGTAGGTCTAAATGCATATGATCACTGTTAAATACTGTGTCTTTAAACCAATTATATTCATGTTTCTAAGCATTAAGATTTCTAATTGTCCATGTGATTAGATGATTCTATGTACTTAGTTTCTTTGCACACTTATTTCCATATTTCTGCTTATATTCTTGGGAATAATAGTTGCAAAGGTGATCTTTATGTAATTCCTTTTAAAATAAGTAACAATATGCATTTCTTTCCCTTATTTATTAACAGAAGTAAGTGAAAATCCAAAAAAGCAAAGAAGCCAAATGGATGATTCTGAAAAGCTGAAGTAAATGTTCTTTTTGTATTATGTAGTCAAAGCAATGCAGCAACATTGCTCTAATGGCACATAGAACTTTTATTTTAATTTGTTTATTAAACTAGCTTATTTTTTTTAAAAAAATGAAGCCAAGCTACAAACTTGTAAATGTTATTCAAATAAAGGGAATGAAAGTTCACATGTAGAAATGTCTACATTAATATTAAATTAATGTTATCTTTTAATGTTAATTACTTTAGAGATTTGCATATATGTTTATATTTTTGAAGTGCATTTTCAAACTTCCGTACAAAATGCAATTGTCTCAAGTAAAAAACTTCTTCCTTGCATCTTTTAATAAAAACACAAATATTGTACATTGCAGAATCAAATACTGTGACATGTTTATATCTAGAATTAACACAATATACCCCAATTTACCTGTACACCTAAGAGTTTTTCTTTAAGAAGTAAAGATAATGCCTGGCTTCTCCACAGTATGCTTGAAGTAAGCAAGTGTGAATGAGTTCACTGAAGAATTAAATGTAATTTTAGTGTGTCCTTAAGACCTTATTTCATTGTTAGTACTAATTGACTGATCCACGATTTTTCTTTCTTCACATTCTAAAATAAATAAATTATTTTTAGAGTTTCTCAGTAGTTATACATTGTCAGTTAAGAAAAAAAGTTTTATTATTCTTTAACTGTAAATTAAGGAATTAAATATTCCATATTTCATATATCGTTAATATATTTCCCAAATCTCTTGTTTGATATTCAGATACTTTAATTTTAAGAAATTTATTTCAGCATTCTTTTTCATCAACATCACTTCTATCTCTTTCAAATCCCAAGAGAGAAATATGCAATAGTCTGTAAAAATACATTTTTCAGAGATGAGAAAGATTCTTAACCAGGAATATTATTCTTAAATTGTTTTAATTGCAGAGAACAAGTGAATTTGAAAACTGATTCTAAAAAAGTTGTAGAGAAACATAACTTACAATGTGGAAATGTGCAACAGGTAAAATAATAAATAATACATTATTTTTAAATATGGGAAATATAGCAAGCATATGAATTTACTGATTATGGAAAAGTTGCTGGATAGAATATATGATTATTAAATTGCTGAAATATATGCATAGAGTTGTACAATAATCTTGACCATCATTAAAATGCTAATGTTTATATTAGGAAATTTTGTTGCTAATTTTTTGATATAGAAATTAAATAAATAAAACTATTTCATTTCAGGTAAAGCTCAGTATAGATCAGTGTGTTTCTCTGGACCAGCTAGTCTTTAGAAATATTCTATAGAAAAAGGGGATTTCATCTTTTTTTAAAGTCAGAAAACATCTAATGTCAGCTTTACTACCTAAGGTTTTAAAGGTAGTCTTTGATTTAGAACCAGTTGTTTAATTACTGAAGTTCTAACTCAGAAAGAGGCTTCTGGCCATCATAAAACATTACCCCATGGTCATGTGATCGTGATCTGGGTCTTTGCACTTACGACTAGTTGTCAAGCATCCCACGATTATGCCATCGCTATTTGCATTCTTTTCTGTCGACTTCCCCAGAAAGTTAATGGTGAATGTGGCAAGGAAGTTTGAAAGCTGCTGCTACCTGCTGAAGGATTTCCTCTTTCCTCCATGCATTGTGGGGTAGAGATGAAAATTTTCTTCAGTCTTCAGAAACAAAGCAGGCTCTTTTAATATAAAGGCTATTAGAATATAAAATAGATGTAGGTAAATACAGGTAGTCCTGAACTTAGGACCAGAATCTTTGAATGAAGTCATTAAGCTAGATGCTTACCTGACCACTTTGCTAAATGACTGCAACTGGGAAAACTGGGATGATTGTGATCATTGAGCAAAGTGGTCATGTGGGCATGTAGCTTAATGACAACTTCACTTACATCTATTTTATATTCTAATAGCCTTTATAGTAGCCTGCAATAAATTTGGATAGAAGAGTCTTGTAGACCTGTAAGATATATAGCAAGGTAATCTTTTTCAAACATAAAAGAACAGAAATTGATTAATGATGAAAAAAATAAAACCATTCAATGAATCTGCTCTTATTTGCGAGAAAAAATGTAGGTCTTTAACTCAAGAATAATTTGAGGGTTCTTTGTGTATGCCATGCAATAGGAGTTGGGACTATTTTATATTGTGAATGTATAACATTAAAGCAACAAAAAAACGTAAATTAAAATTAAATAAATAAATAATTTTCCTGGGATGATCCACAAATGTAGAAATTTGATTAGTTTTTTGAGATTTTGGTGACACCCCCCCCCCTCAAAATTTGGGACAGTCAGTATAGGTGTTGTATGTGCGATGGCACTGGCGTCATCACATTTGGGGTAGGAGTGGTCAATGTCAGAACCTGTTTATATTATTAGACTATAATTTCTATTCTTATTGTTCATGCAGTATAATCTAATGCTGTTGAAATTCTGCTGAAGTGTTATTGCTTGTCTAGGATATAGTTTAAGTTTTCTAGAGGATTTTTCTTAATCAGACTACAAAGTATTTTTTGATATAATAAAAACAACTATCCTTGTTTTGGATTTTGTAGGGAGAGGTAATACCTTCATTAGAAATGTTGAAGACATATATGAAAAATGGATCCACATCTTTAATAGATCAGTGCTTTCACAGTGCTGAACAATCATTTGCATTATCTTTAAATATGGTAGATCCATCTCAATTACAGGTAACATAAATTATTCTATAATCTTCTTATAGTAATGTTTATTTCTTAATGAAATACGCTATGTATATTTTTCCCAAAATGCTATTATTAAAACTATATTTATAAAGAAGCTTATGGTTTCCTATATTAAATATGTTGATGCCAGAAAAATATAATTAGATATTGGTAAAAAAAATTATGTCCATGAACAAATTATCTATAGGAAGAATATGTAAAACATACACAGTTCAAAATGTTCTGGATGAGAAAGGCTTGGAACAAATTATGTTTTCTCTAGAACTTTGTAGACAATTTGGATGAAAGCAGGTAATTTTATTCAAAAATGGTTTGAATGTGTTTCACTCACACATGTGGCTCCTTAATGAATAATTAGTATCTGTATGTGATACCTCTCAACTGTTTGAATTCGTTCCTTCCTGGTAGTTGACAATGAATGTATTTAGATATATTTAGCAGAATGCGTGGATTTGCTTGTTTTGACCTTTTGCGAAAGAAATTTAATGCATTTATGTGCTTTTATGAATATATACTATCTACAAAATGAAACTGCATAACAGCTAGTTCCTATAGTTCTCAAAGAGTTTTAATTTTTTTCTGTAAATTAGGTAGTCAATCCATAGACTAAAAATTGTAAGAACAAGTAACTAATTTTTAATTGAATGTGAGAGTGCATACTATCATTTAGCTTTAAATCTCCAGACACTTAGCTCTGAATTTACTTCATGGGTCCCTATTATGACTAAGATAAAGTCAAAGCAGATGCAGCAACATTAACTTGCACATAGCCACAAACTTAGCAGTCGATTGCCCACTGCAATACATAAAAGTCAGAGAGTTTATATATGGCTATATTTTAACTATGGGCTTCTTTCTCCTAAGCTTCCAAATTAATGGATTAATTAATGTATATTTGGCAAAACCCTTTATGTATTTGGAAGGCAGTATGTAATGGCTCCCTAACTTGGAGCCATTTGTTGCTGCTTCACCAGCCTTAATATTTTTTTCCATATGATGGAAGTCTTGAGATATTACAAGTTCTATTTCTTTGGAAGACAACTAATTTAATATATACATTCTTCCAGAATTTGTATTTATTCTACAGATGAAATAAAACCATTTCAGTGATATTTTTAGTATTTAAATTAAGACAAAATAATTTAAAAGAATAAGTTTTCAGAAAGTCTAGATACTTTTTAAGAAATGAGGTAGTAACACGCAGGATAATTAATATCTTAACAAATACCTGGCCACAGTTGGAAATTACGTACAGATAAAAAAACATGAACTGAATGAGAATAATCATTTTGGTGAATAGCGTTTCAATAGAAGATTGTAGTTCTGTTTTTTCTGAACCATTCAGCATCCACATCAACAGTGACAGGGTAAGTTACTGTATATAAACGGAGAGCAAATCCTGCTCTCCTCTAGCATTAAAGATATTAACCTAATCAGATAATGAGATATCCACAAGAAAACAATTATGCTCAGAGAGCACCAAGGACTCCATACTTTCACACTTTTCAATAGTATAAACTAAGATATTTTTCAAGACATCCATTTGACACCCATTAATTCATATCAGATGTGTTAATTGCTACTTCAAGGTGTTCTAAACATTTGTTCATAATGGCCAAGTTTGTATCCCGTTCTAAGCTACAGGAGAAAGGAACGGATGAAAGAGTAGCAAAAGGCAAAGAGTTGTATTATGCTTCAGTATTGTTTATGATCAAACTTGTATTTCTGCCAGAATATGGTAACAATAAACATGTGCACATCTTCTAGTATTTTTTTTAATAATTGCAGTGTCTGAACCTTGCTCTCGTTGATTATGTTGTGATCATGTATGGATATGCCAGTGCTCTCCTAGGAATAGGACAGCCTGAGGTAAGGTTCCAAGCTATGATGTTTTTTACAAACTACTACCTAACATAAAAGTGTGAATGTAAGATGCTTTAAATGGGCATGATATTAGTTTGAGTAAAGCTTTTTCAGGTCAGCTCTTTGCTTTTTTCAGCTCTTTTCTTACATCAGATTTTCTACAGCTATTTTTTTTTAAAATCAAAACTGAAATATTGCTTAGGGAAAAAAAGGAGAAAGGAAGACAATAATTCTTAGCATGAAATTTGACTAATACTTATATTTATTATGATATCATTTAAAGTAGCTGAGTAGTTGAACATTTGTGAAAGAAGTGTTCCATTATTTTATTAATAATAGTTGTTCATACAATATGATCTTAATCAGTTTCTTCTTAATTGTTCGTGTTTCTATAATGGAAAGATGTTTGAAAGTTTTCAAACTCTATTATTGTCTCCTAGATAATAATGTGCATCAGAGGAATCTACACATAATAGAACTGCTCTCAACAATATTATTATTATTATTGTTATTATTTATCATAGCATTTCTTCTGCTAAGATAAGCTACTTTCAAAAGCAGAATTTATCAATTGGTGTTAATTAGTAGAATGAAAACAACAAACTATATGCCTCCTGCAATCTGTACTTATTAATTGTACTGTAAATGGCATTTGTATATCTGAATGTTTGCACAGTGCTTTTGATCTTTTTCATTTCTTCCACAGGAACTAAGCAAAGCCAAATATCATTTTGATAAAATAATTGAGCAATATCAGAAAGTGAGATTCAACTGCTTGGCACATTATGGAATTGGAAAAGTATATTTGAGACAAAATCGGTGAGTAGTACCATGATAATGGTATAATTGGTTGGAACTTATTCATATACAGACTGATTAATTAGCATTTGGGCTTTTCTATTTATTTTATTTGACAAATTCATAGCCCATTCAAGGCACTCCTTTCTCCTCCCATTGTTTTCTGTCTCTTGGCCTCTAGAAGGAGTCAAGTTCACTGTATACATAAAAATAAAAAGGGAATGGAGAGTATTTGGAATTTCCTGACAAAAAACAAGTCTGAATCAGGTTTCGCTATTGATTTGACCTGATATATTTTATTCCTCATTGCTTTGCTGCTTTTCTCTCTAAGGAAAGGATGTGCTATCTTCTTGACATCTAATAAAAACCTGGGAACAGGAGAATTAATCCATTGTCTCTTGTCACTGCAAAAAGGATTAACTAAAGTGCAGGCATCTTAACAGTACAGTGGATATAGAAAAATAAACCACTTCAGAATTTTTTCTACCTTTAACACAGTACATAAGCAGTAGAATTCAACTGAAAAAGAAGCAGAAATCTCTTGGGTAGTAAAAACCTATAATAATGTGGTTGCATAAGTATGCATACCCCAAACCCTGGCATTTTAATGGGTGTGCAGACTTTCTATATGCACTGTAACAGTTATAACATTCCAGAAGCCTGTCCTATAAAAGAACTGGAAAAATATGTTTAGATAGTGGAATCTATTTGCCATAATGTTCCTCCTTTTAATTACTTTATGAATACTTTTTTCTGAATTTATATTACACACTAAATCACAATCCAGTCAATTAAAATTTAACTAGGAGGTTATGTGAACACAGCCTACATTTTTTTGGAATTGTATAAACTATGAGTCTTTTCATGTGCATGTAGATTTTCTGAAGCTCTAGACCAATTCATGAAGTCAAAAACTATGGTTAATCTTAAGATTGTACCTGGAGTACTGACATGGCCTACGACGTCAGTAATAATAAAAGAGACAAGGTCAGAAGCATTACAAGTAAGTCACAATGTTTTTTGTACATTTTATTGTACTTTTATTTCTATAAGCAATCTGACATGGTGCCTTTCTGGAATATATTTTTCATTATGACAATTGCAAATGAACAGAATTCTAAGAGCCGAGGTGGTGCAGTGGTTAGAGTAGTTAGGCTACTTCAGCTGACTGCTAGCTGCAGTTCGGCAGTTCAAATCTTATCAGCTCAAGGTTGACTCAGCCTTCCATCCTTCCTAGGTGGGTAAAATGAGGATCCAAATTGTTGGGGGCAATATGCTGTCTCTGTAAACTGCTTAGACAGGGCTGTAATGTACTATGAAGCGGTATATAAGTCTAAGTGCTATTGCAAAGTACTATTGCTATGTATATCCCACCTTTATTGTTTTCATAAACAATTCAATGCAGTGAACTTATCAAATACTCCTTCCTTCTCAAATTTTCCCCATAATAACAACCCTTTGAAGTGAGTTGGGCTGAGAGAGAGTGACTGGCCCAAGATCACCCAGCTGGCTTTCATGGCTAAAGTGGGACTAGAACTCACACTCTCTCATTTTCTAGCCAGGTACCTTAACCACTAGATCAAACTGGCTGGTTTTTTTTTTTTTCTATTTTCTTTTTTCCCCTGATTTCAGAGTGTATTATCTTTTAGTATTGTTAAAGTCCTCAATAATTTTTTTTAAACTAAACAAATACTATATAAGGCAGTGCCTCTGGCTCTGAAGATTCAAGACTTTTTGAGGGCAATAGATACTCCCTGACCATAGTTCTATCAATCTTATCCTTTAATCATACTTCATAATGTTCTTCATAGGCTGGCAGAGTCTATCCTTTTTACTGAATAAGTCTGTGTCAAATGAGTAGTTCTGTCTTGTCTTTGTTATCTATTAGCATTCTGATCAGAAATCAGCAGTTTAAATTGGGCTCAGAGGGAATTCCTACACATTGTAAAAGATTTCCTATGCATAATAAATCAGCATTTGTTAGCTGAAGAACAGGATGGTTATGTTGTCAATTAAAATGATGCTTTAAATGTCTTTAACCTGATTGAATTGATAAATTAACTGAGAAAATGCTTAAAATATCCATGCTACTGTTGTAGTACAGAAGGCAGCTTGCATTGTTTTAATAAAGCTGAAAGCCTTGAGTCAATCTTAACTGACTGTACAATTACTATAGTAGTAGACAAATTCAGACAATGATTTTCTAATTGGTGAAGAAAGATCTCTATATTAAAAATTGAAATTAAAATATTCAGTCTCTCACTTAATGTGATATTTTATTGTACTGTGTATTTAACAGTTATATATTTGTGTGATGTACACAGATGTTCTTTTGCCTTAAATGTCATCTTTCGAAATTGTTCTTAAGGTTAGCAGTGTTTAGCAATACATAATCTCCATGGAACAAGTGACAGTATACAACTTTGATTTTTTGGGGGTCATAGGTTATATTGGAAGATTGTATTACAGAATGCAAGTTTTCCCCAAAACCAAATGCAGTATGTCGTTATCAGCAATGCCAAGCACATAAAGTCAAAATATATTTTAATGACCCAGTTTTCAAGGTAAGTATTATATTTTAATTATGTTGTAGACATTTTTGGAAAACATAATACTTTTCTAGTACTATTTATTTGTGCTTCATATTTTTGCAGGGTTAATATTTTTCTCCAAATTTCAGGGTTTTATACGTATTGCCTGCTGTAAACAGTGTATAGTAGAATTTCATTTAAGCTGCTGGAAAAAAGTAAAAGCTACAAGATATTGTGATAAAAATGATAAGGTAACTTCTTGAAATTCTCTTCTTTGTGAATGTTGCTTAGTTTTTTTAATAGAATTGAATTTCATAAGTTAGGCTTGCTTGATATGCATCTGTATGATCGTTATTTGTTATCAAGATGTTTTCATCCATAATAAGGGAAATTTATAGCTTCAGGTTTATATAAGCTTCAGATCACTCAAAGAATGTAAGGGAATCTTTTTTTTCTTATTCAGCCATGTCTGATTCTTGGAGACTCCTTGGACAAGTCCCTGCAGTTTTCTCGGCAAAGTTTTTTTGGAAATGGTTGCCATTGCCTCTTTTCTTGGGCTGAGAAAGAGTGATTGGCCCAAGGTCACCCAGTTGGCTTTGTGTCTAAGATGGAACTAGCATTCCCAGTCTCCCACTTTCTAGACTGAACCACTACAATATATGTAGCATTATATGAAAAGGAGTTATTTCTTGTGCATTCTTCCCTTATTGAATTTTGTTTGCAGTTTGCAAAATAACCTAATAAATTTTAACTACCCTGAATGAACTCAGTCAGTTATGAAGTCTTTGAATTCAAATTGCTAAGGATGATAATAAAAACATGGATCCATTCATTACAGTAAATATTCAGCAGTAATAATGTATAAATTAATATTTGAAAGGAAATAGAAACAAAATAATAAAATAATGGCATAGCTATGTATCATTTATACAACGGCTATATTCAGTGTAAATTCAAAAGTAATATGTTAATTCCACAAATCTTGCAATGAAATCCTGTCCACAGATACATTTTCTCCTAACGTCCACAGGATATTCTTCAAGAGACGTGTTTCACTCCAGATTGTAGTGGCCTTATTTCTAAAATCACTGTCTTCAGTTCTTCTGGTATTGTCAAATGTGAAGTAAGTATTGATAGGTGTTTTTTTTTAAAGAAATCTTTCAGTGGAATCAAAATGTTGAGATATTATTTTGCTGCGGACAAGAATTTTTGATTTAGTCATTTGTGCTTGCTGTGCCAGTTATGAATGAAAGGATCCAAGAATGTAGATTTCAGAGTTCTCCTGATTTCTCTAAAGCAGAAAGTTTCTTCCTTCCTGTTAACATCCAAGGCAGTTGGGAAATTCATGCTGAATGGACAAACAATAAAGAAGAAGAAATACATATGCATGCAGTTTGCCCCATATCACTTAAATGCAATTCAAAGAGTAGCAGTCTGTGTTATTAAACCTCAGACTAGCTGGGAAGAATAGTTAAAAAAATTAGGTTGTTGCTGAAAAATTATACAGGTGGGTTTTGTCTGCATCATGCCCTTCCAGTAGATGAATTTCTGAAAAGGGTAGTTCTTGCACATGCAGATGCCTATCCACCTTTTTGTGGATGCACACATAAAAACCCACTTCAAATGTCCTCCTCTAAACAAAACCACTTATCAAAAATGTTGATATGCAAAACCTCTTACAATGGATAACAAGCTTGGTAGGTTTTTTTTCCCCCAACTGCAGGGATTGACAAAAAACTCTGATGTGAAACCATTGATAATATGACCATCATTAATGAAAACTACCTTTATAACAATATTTTCAGCTAATTTTGATAGTCTAGAAAAATGATGGATGAAGTGCAGAACACTGATAACATTGAAATGAAAAGAATCTGCTGAATAGCTATATTGTAACATTGAATAAAATAATATTTAATTTATTTTACCAAATAATGCTTGTGGTCCTAGTAAAGCATACTAATATGAATTAATTTAATAGCATAGTAGCAACTCCTTTATTTTAAAAACCACAATAACATAATAAAGAAAAGGAATATTTGAAGCTGGTATTTTTTGCTTCCCTAGTTTGAACATAAAATAATAACCAAGAATCCTCCAAGGCCTGTTCTAAAACAGAAATGCTCGAGGTAAGTTTCCAAACTCTCCAGTTAATAATTTTTTTAACAATATATTTCCAGTAAGAAGAGATGAACTAGCAATGTCATTAAAAATGCTATTTCTTAAAATGGGATATACAAAGATATTGCTGATAGTTTGCCCGTGGTAACTGTGAATACTTTGATTTCTTATCCTCCAGCCTTGAATTACGTATGAAGGTTAATAGGACTTCTCTAAGTCACTTTGAGCTAATGAGTAATAATATTCAAAAGTTTCTAAGCCCCGTACAAATCAGCATTTATCAACATTTTAATTTTAATTAGATTTACACTTGGAAAAGAATATTGGTTGTGAATGGCCCACAGTACTGTAAATACAATCAGTAGTCATACAAATTTGTGGCTTCTATTAATGATTATTTACATAGAATGTAGAACCATGTTTTAGAATTTAGAATAACAGAGTTGGAAGGGACCTTGGAGGTCACAGGAAGCTTTTTTTGGTATTTTCTACTTTTGTCACAAGCCTTTGTTCATTGTGAGCCTTAGCTTTCCTTAGGTTTTTACAGACTCAGGCTATTTGCTGATATCCTGCCTTAGTTATTTGCCCCTCTTTTCACTTTTTGTACTTGTCTTTTTTGTCTTTCAATTTGTCAGAGAGTTCTTTATGCAGCTATGCTGGTTTCTTTTGTGAGCTGTTATTTTTCTTCTTCATTGGTATTGTGATAGACTGGGCTTTTATAACCTCATTTTTCAAAATTTCCCAAGCTTCTTGAGTTGTTTTCCCCTTGAGGATTCTCATCCATGGAATCCTTTCCAAGCTCTCTCTTAAGTTTATTGAAATTAGCTCTCTTAAAGTCCAAGACTCTAGTTTGACTTTGTTCTATTGCTTGTGCTTGCATAATGTTGAATTCCAATATTGCATGATCACTCCCCCCCCCCCCCACAAGGTTCCTGTAGCTTCAACACCTATCATTTCATCTCTGTTAGTGAGAATTAAGTCCAATGTGGCTGATCCCCTTGTTCCCTTCTCTACTTTTTGGGAAACAAAGTTGTCTACTAGGTTTGCTAGGCACCTGTTGGATCTTCCACTTAGTGCACAGTTTGTCTCCCAGTTGATACCTTAGTTAACTGACTAGCAAAAGCTTCATCTATTTCTTCTGTTTGGTTTGGTGACCATAGTATAGACCTATTGCAATGTCATTTCCCCCCTTTAATATTCACCCAAATGCATTCAAGATAATTTTCATCATTGTTGTGCTCTATTTCTGTAGAGATGTAGTTATTTCTTATATATAATGCAACTCCACGTTCTCTTTTATTTGGTCTATTTCTTTTAAATAATTTAAATTCCTCCAACTGTATGTTCTATTTGTGTGTTTCAATTCCCCAAGTTTCCGTAATGGCAACAATATCATATCTGCCCTCATTTACTTGAATTTCAAATTCACCCTGTTCACCCTCATACTCTGTGCATTGGTGTATAAACATTTGAGTCCATTTTGATTAACCCTGTGTTTACTGTCTACATAACCTGTGTTGTGCCTGACTGCCCCTACTTTCTTGCCACCTGTCTGATTAGTGCACATGGTATAGTGCTCACTATTAAATGCTTGGTTTTGCTTGACAGCAAGGTTGATAATCTTACTTGCACAAATATCTATGTTACATGCACTGATAACCCTATGAATTTTAGATTGCTGGGGGCAGAAATGTTCTGTATCCATTAATTATCTGTCCCCACTGTTCAGTTTATCCAGAAAATCTGTGAATTTAATGCCAAGTAACTCAGCCCCTTTCTTGGATGGGTGCAAACCATCTCTTTTGTACAGTTTTTCATTGGACCAGCTGCAGACATTATGACTAATAAAACCAAAGCCTTCCCTTTTACACCACTCCTTTAGCCACACATTAAAATCCGCTACATGCTGGCCTTTCCCTTTCTGTCTCTTATATACTGGTGAAACCTCCGAAAATATAAGCCTACAACCTATACTACTAAGTTCATACCCCACACTCTGGAAATCATTCTGCACAGAAAGTACATCTTTTTGGGACAGATCATTTGTGCCAAGATGTATAATAGCATCAGCAGCACAGTCCTTACTGGCATTCTTGACTATCTTAAGAATACGCCTCTTGTCTCTGCTGCCAGTAGCATCTGGCAGATACCTGACCTCTTTCAGAACCTCCGTATCCTTTCCTAAATTTATATCCCTTACAATTGAATCATCAACCAGAAGGTGGCTTCTCTTTTTGGATACCTTGCTCTTCTTGTGTGACTGATGTATAATACCTGATTTACACTTTCCCCTTTCCAAAGTAAGTTATTTGAGTTATGATTATCACAACTACTTTGACCTGTCACTTTAGTGTTCATATTAAGGTCAGCAAGGGCTCTGTATCTGTTATGCTGGGACACAGCAAAACCTTTGTGTTTATAGTTCACAGCTCTCACCTTGCCAGATTCCATGGTTGTCCATACTTCCCTTTTCCTGCAGGATCTTTGTGGTAGGGGGGGCTGATAGCATGGCAGCTCAATAGAATGGATGGGTTGAATTGGGCATCTAATTTCTGTTCAGAAAGCACAGATTAAAGATTCTACATAGGTAATCTGTCCATGTAGACTAGTAATTTGTTTACAGAGAGGACAATATCCAAATTTAAAAAGAGTATTGTGAAAGAAAGCTGCAAAACAAGTATTACACTGAACTAAGCCTGACAAAAATTAAGGTCATTTTGAAATAAAATAAAATCACAATCTCAAGCGCACTAACCCTGAATGTATTATTGCTATTTTTGGTTTATAGTTATATGATTCATGCAGGCCGCTAACTTTGTCCTCTGTACTACCTCTCAGTCTCCCCCATTCACAGCCAGAAGCTCCTCCCACCAGCCTCTGGAAAGTTAAAATGCTTAATTTTGTTGAATGTAATAGAGCTTTGTGGGAATGATGCCATTATAATTGGTTCTTTTGGAATTTTATGTGTCATTTCATGAAGCATATATTAATTGTGTAAATCTTAAATGTCCATATTAGCCTGTATTAGGCTACAGACAATTATCCTGGTTGCTAAAGTTCATGTACAATTTAATTAATAAATTATGACACATTTTAATATTTAAAGATTATGTCACCTACTTGTCAAAGTGCTTCTTAATTTCATCTTCACTGAGAGCTGTCCATATGCCTGTTGCGCTCACATAGCTCTTTGGCTAGTTCCTCTTTGTTTTCTCAAACAGCAATTGGGCAATATAATTTATGTATTTTAAGCATTAATGGTTTTGACTTTTCAGTGGTGACATATGCTTATATTGTTAAATGTAAGGCTCAGTCTTAATTGCTTTGTATCAGTTTTAGGAAGTTACAAGTAAAAGAGGAGAAAAAACTGAGAAGGAAATTTATAAAAGAAGCAGTGTCCTTCAGAAATCTTGACGTATTTCACAGAAGTAACATTGTGGCAAAAGATGATAGCTTTAAAGGTATCTGAATATATATCTATACATTGATGCTTTGTTTATATCACGAATGTTTGTCCATCACAGTATTTGCTTTATCTTAGAAAATATTCCGAAGAATTTTTTTGTTGAGGATACAATCCTACAACTTATTGGACGGTATAAAATGACCATACAAGATGGTGTACATGATGCCTTCAAACTTCTGGTTGAATTGCTTTCATGGTGGGTACTTAGTGAAGAGGATTATGCACTCTTTTCAACAAGTCGTCTATCATCGGCTGAAATAATGGACCAGCTCATAAGCTTTTTAATTGCTAAAAATGATAGAGTGAAGACAAGAATTTTTGTACATGTTGTAAGTGCATTTGAAGAAGTGGATCCTAAGCTACATGACTGGATGAAACATCTTGATAATAATGGTATGGTCATGTTTTCTATAATCCTGTAATAAATCCTTTATTGTTTCACTCTAGGACTAAAAGTACTGTAGCTCGTGGAATTTATGAATGAGGTTTGTTTATCTTAAAGAAGAGACTTTTTTTAGTTGTTGTAAACTTGGAACTATTCTTATTCATTCTGACCTGCAAATTCCCTTATTCTTTGTTCTTAATGAAAGTTAAGATTATTACAGGTAGTCCCCCACTTACAACCATTTGGTTAGTGACCTTCAAAGTAACAATGGCACTGAAAAAAGTGACTTATGACTGCTTTTCACACTTTTGTACAGTATCCCCATGTCACAAGATCAAAATTCGGATGCTTGGCAACTGATTCTTATTTATGATGGTTACAGTGTTCTGGGGTCACGTGATCTGGCAAGCAAAGTCAATGGGAAAGCCACATTCTCTTAACAACTGTGTTACTAACAGCTACAGTGATTCGCTTGACAACTGTGGCAAGTTCATAAAATGGGGCAAAGTTTACTTAAAAACTGTACCGCTTAGCAACAGAAATTTTGGGCTCAGTTTTGGTTGTAAGACTGCCTGTATTTAAATATAAAAGGAAAAGGCGAATCTTGAAAAGGTATTCCCTCAGTGGGCAGCCTGCTAGTGCTGTGCACTGGGATTGCCAGCAAAGCAAAGTGCCTAATGTACACACAGGCATGTGGAGATAATCCTGCACAGCTTTCAGAGCAGCCAAATGGGCCTTGCAAGGGTGCAACTGCTGGAGTACTTCAAAGAAAGGAGCTTCATTTCTACTAATCTGCTTTGTGAAGTGACTCTTAAAAGCTTTCATAGGCCTAATATTGTAGTAAGTTAGGGTGTACATACATACACACACACACACACATACACATACATACAGTGGGGCAAAAAAGTATTTAGTCAGGCACCAATTGTGCAAGTTCTCCCACTTAAAAAGATGAGAGAGGCCTGTAATTGACATCATAGGTAGACCTCAACTATGAGAGACAAACTGAGAAAACAAATTCAGACAATCACATTGTCTGATTTGGAAAGAATTTTTTTTTGCAAATTACGGTGGAAAATAAGTATTTGGTCAATATCAAAAGTTCATCTCAATACTTTGTTATATATCCTTTGTTGGCAATGACAGAGGTCAAACGTTGGCCCATTCCTCCATGCAGATCTCCTCTAGAGCAGTGATGTTTTGGGGCTGTCGCTGGGCAACACGGATTTTCAACTCCCTCCAAAGGTTTACTATGGGGTTGAGATCTGGAGACTGGCTAGGCCGCTCCAAGACCTTGAAATGCTTCTTACGAAACCACTCCTTCGTTGCCCAGGCAGTGTGTTTGGGATCATTGTCATGCTGAAAGACGCAGCTACTTTTCATCTTCAAAGCCCTTGCTGATGGTTTGAGGTTGAGGTTTATTTGATTTATATTCCGCCCTTCTTCCAAGGACTGATGGAAGGAGGTTTGCACTCAAAATCTCACGATACATGGCCCCATTCATTCTTTCCTGTACATGG